ATATATATACACACACACACAGTATTTATTGTTTTTCCTTTTACTTGCACATGCACCTCTTAAATGATTATATAAAAAATTTTTTCACATTTTTTTTATTTCCATGTGTTGCTTTTACGTTTCTGTCTCCTGTTTTTACATTTCCTTCTGCATTTCTGCCTCATTATGTAAATACAGTGGGTGGAGCTTATTGAGTCAGCTCCTCTCCTATTGGTCAACAAGAAGAAGCAGGATCCATGCGCAGATCTACTGTGCATGATTGCGCTGCTTCAGTTTGGCTTAAAATAATTAAATATAATCATTTAGGAGACACAGTGTATCTACAAGTAAAAGGAAAAACAGAAAACATATTTTTAAAAACAAAAAAATGTAACGTGGTAAAACCTATAATAAATTGGAAGCTAGAAAAATAAATATGATATTTAATTAAATGATATATCATGAGGTAAAGTTCTACATTTTTAATTGGTGCATTTGAAGAATAGTTATTTATTGGTCCTTTTATGTATTTATACTTTTATTTCTAATTATGTCAGTTTTGGTCCGGAAGAGGCTGAAAATTACAAGTTTTAAAATCAGTTGTTGTCTTTGTCAGGCAATCTGTTTGTTTATTGGGTTTTAATATTGTTTTTATTTAACAAATCAATAAAGATCCACCAGTCTTCACTCCTCAGAGACTCAACCTTCTGAGGATCCATCTTGTTTTTCTAGTTTAACCGTTGACTAATTTAACAAACATAAAAACCAGACTGTTTACTTTTTTCCAAAACAATACTTTTATATAATACATGTCAAAGACAACATGTTAAAGGTTTCCCCAGAAAACTGTACTATTTCTGTAACAATGGCAGAACAAGTCAAAAAACATAACCAATAATAACAATAAAAAAAAAGAATATGCATTTTATACATAGTATGTAAACCTGGAACTGTTTGTTTCTGAAGCACAGTGGTCACACAGAAAACTGGCTTATTTTTTTAGTGGAATGGGCCGTAACAACGATCGGGCGTAAGGATGGAGCCCTGTCAAAAGTCCAGATGTGACAAAAACAAACAAGAAATATCACCAAAAGTCTCCCACAAAGTCACATCCAACAGATGTCAAACAATGCCCGTTCTGTTGTTGCGGTTAAACAAAGCGCCCCACTAAAACACTTTCTACATAAATACAATCAAATCTAACATATGCAATATAGACATTTTTTTTCTCTAAAGTAAGTTGCATGTTTGATGAGTCCAGATGCTACGGGTAGAACTACAACACGGAGAGCACCCAAACTCTTCTCAAGAAATCAAACCGCAGTAAAAGAGACAGTTTGGATACAGTGAAAGTACTAATGTCCTTCAGTGCTCATTCCCTTGTGCTGGTATGTGGCTGGGGGACAGATGGACGGACGGAGGGACAGACAGGTAGGCAGTGCGTGCAGGCTAACAGTTCATGCAGAGACAAAAAATTAAAAAAATTTAAAAGAAAAACGGAGTGAAGTGAGGTCAGACCACACAAATGAAACTAAAGTCCAAATAAAAACTAATAAATGGACATTAAAATGGAATGTAGTCTCCCTTTTTTTTGTCTTTTTGGTAACTGGACATTGTTTTAAGACTAACTGTGAAGACAGATGGCCAGACGGTGCTAGTGTTGGCTGCGTTTGAGAAACCAAAGCAGGAAAGCCGCGACTGGCACCGGTGCACAAACGTTCTGGGAAGTTTCCCCTCAAACGCACTAAAACTGTGCAGAGACGTCCGTGCCTTCAGCATGAAATGATGTTCAGCACAGGTCTCCACCTCAAACAGAATCGCACAGAAATAACAAAACAACACAGAAGTTTCTGCGTTAAATAAAACAATTAAAAAAAGGAATGTAGAGAGAAACACAAACACAGTGATGAGTCAGATTTACAGTGCCCTGCTGAAGAAGCCTCCTCCAGTACATTCTGACTTTACAGTCAGCTATTTACAAAACAAAACACAAAAATACAGTTTCATGTCGACGCACTCGCTGTTGTGGAAACGTTACCCAAAATAGTAAGAAAGTTTGAAGGAACGAACATCGTAACAAATCTATTGGTGACGTCATTGGTGATGTCTCATTTTTATATGTTAGAATTTCAATATTCAGTCAAGATGTAAAACGGGGCCTCCTTTTTAAAATTAATCTTTATAATTACATAATAATGTAAAACTGGTCCTCAGGAAAGTAAAGTTTTGATCTCATACCAGACCTGTAAGAGATCAAACTGCAGCCGTGTTTCCATCCAATGTTAACGCACAATTTGAGCAAACTTTTAAAATGTCGCAAAAAAAGAAATGACAATCAGACGTGTTTCCATCTACTGGTTTGGAGTGAATCAACCAGGCTACACAAACTGTAATCATGTTAGAGGTTGACATTACACATGGCTGTAGTAAACAGGAAGTAAAGTCACAAACTCACAGGGACACATCTCAGGACAATGGAGAGAAGTTATCAGGAACGTTGTAATATTCTGTCATATCAGCTAGTGTTGGTGATGTTTCTGCTGTCTGCAGGGTTCCTACAGTTTAAGCCAAGTTAAATTTAAGACCTTTTAAGACTTTTTAATGCCAAGTGAAATTAAATTTAAAACCAATTTCATAATAAGCACAAATGACAAAAAAATAAAAACCGGCAGAAACTCATAAACCAAAGTATTTTTGGTTGAAGTATTCGAATATTGCTAATAGACCAATTGTTTTTATCCATATCCATATCTAACTATAGCAGAAACATTCTTAGCAGTCAGTTTTGAACTTAAAGTGCCTGTGACATCTTTTTTTTTTCTAAGAAAAGTGAATGCTTTTTTGGAAACACATTATTAACATATTACAAAACAAATTTCACGTTGCTCAGATGAATAGTTGTTGAGATAGTTGCATTTGAAATAACAGGAAGTGATGTCAAAGGGGAATGTCTGCATGGGAATATTAAAAAAATAATTTTTACCAATTATTTTAGTATTTGAAATGAATTACAATCATCCTATGTACAATCTAACATTTTTAAGACTTCTGAAAGATTGATTTAAGACATTTTAAGGCTAATTTATTTTTGGATTGATGAATTCAACGACTTTTAAGACTTTTTAAGGATTTGCAGGAACCATGTGTCTGGAGACGTAGAAAAAGAAATGCAATTTTCTTCACTTTAAGAGAATATCCAGGAAGATGCTGACAACTCCAACTCTCCTTTCGCGCGTTAACTCTACTTCAGAAAATACAAAAACCACCTCAAGTGTGCGTAAAACCTTTTTTTCTTTGAGGAAGTTTTTGCGAATATGCCATTTCCATCCAGCTTTTCTAATGCAACATTTCAAAAAGCGCATTAAAAACGATGGAAACACGACTTTTGATGTAAAGGTGCAGGGTCACCAGAGGTCACTAATAACTTTATTCCTGCTGATTTCACAAATGCTCATTTAAATTAGAACTAAGATCTGTAACAGGTAAGTTATTAAATGTTCACAACCTTTTCCAAAGGACTCCACTTCGAAACTAAAAAGAAAGAGGACCAAGTGTGAGGAAACAGGTCAAATTTTCATTCTAACTGGTGCAGAAACGATAAAAACCAATTGACGTCACCAAAGATCTACATCAAACATCAAAAAATAGAGTGGGTAAGATATGTGCATGGTTATGAGGGGCATACTGTAACAGTGTTGTGGTACCCATTGGACAAATAAAGTGGAAAACCATCACTGCTGAAAAGCCAATAAGAAGAAATTCAGCTCAACATGTTCAGCTGTAACGAAGGACAGCAGAGGTGTCTTCACTGCATGTAGCTGATGCAAAGTATCGTTTTTCAATGCCAACTTCAAAACAATATCAAAGTATTCAGTATGTATAGATATATAATATACTCCTTTCTTTTATATATAAATCTACTATAAACAGACGGTAAATACACAATTGTCCATCTTTTTACAAAGTAGAAACAGCTGCATCCCAACGTTCTCCTTAAAATCCCGAACCAAGAAATATTTATAATGATGCCCACCTAAACTGTCAACTGTTGTGAACCACGGCAGCTTTACGCCGCAACGGAGGGTGATGTGCGAGGAGCAAGTCCATAAATGAAAAGAATCGGCTCGAGTAGTCATCGGTGCATGTGGCAGGAATCCTCAGATCCGAGACGTTTGTACGGTAAACAACCACAGCTCAACGATTAAAAACAAACAAATAAAAAAAAGGTAGTTTCCCAGAAGGTTGACCACAAGTTGGAAGGGTGATTACGATAAAAAAAATATTGCTGCTGAGTGTGGATGACCTAAAACTTGTAACTAATTAAACTGTAACTTTTTTTAAAAATAGGTTTCACTGACATCTAGTGGTGATTTTGCAGATTGCAACAAACAGAATGACTCAAACCTCCCTTTTTTGAGCATGCTTTGCGCATTTTGGGAGGTTTCAAAATAAATTATTCTATGGCTGCCCCATCACAGACAGAGAAAAACATGTTTTATAAAAAAAAGTTTTATAAGTATTCAGTTTTATGTTTTAATTTAGAGTTTTTACAGGAAAGGGAATGTAAAAATAGTGCCCCCTTTTCACTGTCGAATGAGAATTGAAACCAAGGTTTCAGATGAATAGCTGTGTTTATACTACTTTATATTAATGCTTGTATTTCTCTGTCAATGAACAGACAGAAGTATAACACACCTGCTTCTTAGCACCTGACATTTGGGGAGCAGATGTGCTTTTAATAAAAGCCTGAAGATGTTATTAAAGCAGCTGTGAGAGCCTCTGAAGCACCAGAACACCCCTCTGGAAAATCCCAGGTGGGATAACAAGAGGGCTGGTTGAACAAATTAGCCCACGTGAGAATAATTACAGTCCTCCATAATCTTTAAGAAGTGACACAAATTCTACTGTTGTAGCCAAAGTCTTGGTTGTACTGATGCATATGACATGTCCAACTTGTGGCTGGGAACCACCTTCCAGGCTGAAAACATGAGGAAGAAAATGCAAAGATGGAGAGAGAAACAGGAAAATAAAGTCCACCAGTCTATGTGCCGAAAACATGCAGGCAGCCAGTGCTTTACCAGGAGAGGGGAGAGCCTGAGGGGTCTGGTCCAAGAGGCCTCCCTTTAATATCTGGTTTTAAGGCAAAGTTCTTTCAATTGAGACAAACCCACCCAACCTAAAAAAAAGAAAAGGCACAAATGTTCATTTTACAGTCAGAATCCAGGCAATCTGCTCACCTTTCCATCAGTAACTTTCTTTTGCAAAAAACGCAGAAAAACTCAACAACGTTGTTTCAGTTTGTAAAAAGCAGGAGTCAGTGCAGAGTCTTGACTACAACAGCTCCGGTGGCTCTAAGAGTGTGAAGATGAAACTGCCGGTAGTTAAAAATGAAATGTCTAGTGTTGTGTTTTTATTTTCTTTTTGTTTCTAAAGCAGTTGAGGCAGCCGCTGCGGGATAACTGACTGAACCTCCGAACGTCCGACGCCAGCGAGTGCAACACGTTAGCGTGAACCGTCCTGTGCACGAGGGATGGAGAAAAGTTCATCTTCAGCTTTCTTCTCAATGCCACTTTTGTCAGCTCTTCTTGTCGTCCTCGTGACAAAAACGCCTCTTCGGTACGACGGTGGTGAGGCGTAAGAGGAATCTACGGACCCAAGTTAAACACCGGTCTGAGTGGTTGAAGTCTAGCTCTGGTTTTTGTTTTGTTTTACATCGGAGCTTCCTCTTCCATTGGTTCCTCTTCAGCCCTGGAAAAGAACCAGTAATATTTACTAATGAAGTGATAAAACTAACACTGAATGTGAATTGAACATAAGAAAAAAAGGTTGTATGAATTTATATTTGGCATTATTTAAATTCCGATTTGCGCTTTCTAAAATTAAAATGTAGTACCGCTAATAACTAATTATCTACCAGTCATCATTATCTTGAACAGAAGAAGGTATGGCTGTCAATGAATCACAACACACGTGATCTGTCTAACAGCACCCCTCGCAGATAAACACACTTATTGAGAAGGTATACATCCTTGCTGACTGTTGCTTTCGATCACGGTCCTGATTTCCCACAATGCTTTGTGTCTGTTTACATAGCAGGAAGGCAATAGCAAAAACAGTTAACGTTTGTAATCCATTCTAAAATTTTGTATGTATTGATTTATTTTACTTTATAATCAGAGCTCCTTTTTAAAAAAAAAAAGTTTAAACGCTGGAGCTCAATACTTGACGTAATTGGTCGAAGCAACGGGGTTAGAGACGCAGAAATGATCTAAAGATGTTATGGTGATGAAGACTGACATCTAGTGGTCAACCGGAGCAACTACATAGAAAACTTTAAATTCCAAGCTCTTATTTTGAAGGGAAGATAGTTTCCTGTACTCCGTGCTTTCGTTTCCCGTCACAAATCAAATCCGTCATGTACCCAGAATGCATCGC